CACAAATGGCATTTATAGTCTGTATCTCATATTTCCTTAACGTCTTATACCTTTGACGGTCTTAAGCATGGTGTCACGTGGATGGAATATGCATGGAAATGATATGCAGATGAGGTTATGCATAGTAAAACTAGGCGTTGTAAGCTCCATAAATGGCTATTTCGGGGAGAGATGCACGTACGCACAATCTTCCCCTGACTGGGATTTATAAAGGGATTTTTGCACAGGTTCTGGCATACGAATGGTTTTATAAATCTGAAAACTTTTGTGCGTACGTACACTTTTAAGATGAAATCTACGGAGAGTTCCAATTCCAGAGAAGTTGGGACATTTTGTAAAATGCAATAAAATCAAGAATGAGTGTGATGAGTGTGAATGTGATTTGTTCATTCTCTTAAACTTGTATTTAATTGACAAAAGTACAAAGAAAAGATTTCCAAAGTTTTCACTGACCAACTTAAATTTATTTTGTAAGTATGAACAAATTTGGATTATGACGGCTGCAACACACTCCAAAAAAGTTGAGACAGAGGCAGTATACATCTCTGTACCATTCCAATATATGCCTCCATGTCAATAGCACCTTCGCACATATGGCAGTCACCCATGCTGTTTGCTCTGCTGCACTCCCATACCATGACAGACGTTTGCTTTTGCTTCTGTTGCTAATGAAAGTATGGATGCTCCCTCTGGTCTTTGGGACTGAGAACTCGATGTCCATTTTTCCCAGAAACAAGCTGAAATGTGGACTCATCTGAGTCTTTTTGACTATCTGAGGTGAGCTCTGGCCCAGAGAATCCGGCAGCATCGCTGCATAGAATTGATGTATTGCTTTCAAGTTGCATTTCTTGATGCAGCAGCAGACTGTTAATTGACAGCAGTTTTCTGAAGTAATCCAGAGCCTATGTGGCTATATTTAACACCTCAGCATGACGGTTTCTTATGCTGTGCCATCTGAGGTATCAAGGGTCAAGCACATTCACCTGAGGTTTCCTGCCTTTCCCTACATGTACTGTGTTTTCTCTGGATTCCCTGAATCTTTTCACAATATTATGTATGGTACTTGGTAAAAAACCTAAATTCTTTGCAATTTTGAGCTATCAAAATAGGGGCGAGACCCTTTTGGGGTAGGGGCGTGTTTGTTTTGGTGATTTTAAATATCAACATTGGCTACCAGAAATCACTTACCCCACCTTTAATAGATAAGGGGCTTTGTTCAGGCCAGCTATTTCACCATCCTGCTAGGTCCTTCTACAATTACCTCATCAACTTCGGTCAGAAATCTTGGTGTAATCTTTGATGACCAGCTGACCTTCATAGACAACATTGCAAAGACTGCTCGATCTTGCAGGTTTGCATTGCACAACATCAGAAAGATCAGGCCCTTTCTAACGGAGCATGCTGCACAACTTCTTGTCCAGGCGCTTGTCATTTCTAGGCTGGACTACTGCAATGCTCTTCTGGCTGGACTTCCATCAAGCACAATCAAACCTCTACAAATACAACTCATCTCTTTCAAAGCTACTTGACTTCATCCTAAAAAAAAACAAAAAAAACACTTTGTCTTGCTCTTTGTTTATTCCTTCCCTTTTTAGCTTGTACTTATTTGAACAATGCCTGAAACTTGGTATTACGAGCACTTCCTGTGTCTGTTCGCCTCTTTAAGAAGAATCGCTTTATGTATTCCTCAGTTGCTTTGGATAAAAGCATCTGCAAAATGACTAAATGTAAAATTGAAATCAATCTTTTTATTTGTTGAACATCAATTAAATTGTTACTCTTAAATTGGTTTGGACGTTTTTTGTATTTTCTAGTTCGGGGAACAGACACAATCTCTATAATCTAGGTGAAAGAGTTTCTATGTGCTGAGAATTAACTGATTTCTGTGACGTGAAGTGGCTAGCAGACGGTCGGTTTAACCAGTCTGTCTGCTTCCTGACCTGGGCCCCAGTTAGTCAAGTACAAACTCTAAGACTATGTGCCATATTTCTAGACAGAAGAGCGGCACCACCCCAGGAGGGATGAAGACCATCTCTTTTCAACAGGTCAGGTCTGCCCCAAAAACTCCTCCAATTGTCTGTGAAACCGATGTTATTCTGCGGGCACCACTTAGACATCCAGCCACTGAGTGACGACAGTCTGCTATGCATCTCATCGCCACGGTAAGCAGGGAGGGGACCAGAGCATATTACAGAAATGGAAAATCTGTGAACACAGAACAACAGTGATATGCATTTGTGCATGCATTTAAGGGTTCATGCATACAAAGACATGTTTGTGCACTTAGGAGAATGTACATCGGAAAGACTTTGAAGATGTGTCAGTCAGCAGTTCTGCAGGTACAAGCTTTCAGCTTCAAAGACTGCCACAGCAGTGAATGACAGGAAAAGAGCTGTGCAGCAATCACAAGGTGTTGTGCATGTTATCTCAAGATCTTTTTGAGGTGAACACGTGCACGGTCTCACTTTTATCCACTCTTATACGAGAACTTGTACTGTGGATATGACACAAACACACAGATAACAGACCAACACAGCAAGGCATCAGTAGCAATGATCTTCACCACAACTACAGTGTGAGAAATACTACTGTATGTATGTAATCTTGGTTAGACCATCATAGATTTTATCATCACTGACAACTATATAAAAAAATCATACACTACCATTCAAAAGTTTAGGTAAGAGATTTTTTTTTATAAAGAACAGCAGAAATGAATACATTCACTGAGCAAGGACACATTGATTTGATCAAAAAATGTTAGATCAAAAATAAATGCTCAGCCCAGACCTTCGGGATGTTCCGACCAAAACAGTATGCCATCTTTCAAATCTACAATTGTGCTAAAACACACTAGAAACATGTTGACACGTTAGCAATGTGCTAAAACATGTTAGTTGCTAGGTTTGTGCTTAGACATGGTAGTGACATGCTAAAAATTTAGAAACAGAAATTTTTTTTAGAAAATAGAAGAGGTGAACATATCATAAATGTGTACTTAAGTCATTATCTGTATGAATTCCATTTATAATGTATGTATTATACAGTATTTATACATAAAGTAATCATTCAGAGAAAAAACACTTTCATCAACAACCCAAAATGCATAATGAACATTCTCTCCACAGCGAACTAGTGTATGCATGTAAGAAACTTCTGCAAACGTGTGTTTACATACATTTACATGTAGTCATTTAGCAGACAAGCACGAGCGGCACGTATAGCAGAGTTTGTGTGCTTTAGGAGTTGACAGACGTCCATATCCTTGAGGATATTCTTCACACATCCACACCCACAAAGAGATTTCTTTGCAATCACACCTAGATAAATTACATCAGGTCCCCCGCGAGATCCACGTCCAAACAAGACAATGAGGCTGGCTCAAGAGTCTTTCTGTGTGAAACTAGATTTGCATCACCTGAAGGAAATAGTAGTGTTTGTGAAAGAGTAAAGTTCAGCTTTCAGGATTTATCTGTGTGTAAATTAAATGTTGCATTTAGTGTGTATCTTGTGTCTAGTCGGCTGCATTCAAGAATGAGCATGATTAGAATAGTACACAGAACCTTTAACACAAAACTACCGCATATGTGTCCCTGGAGCACAAAAGCAGTCATAAGCATCACAGGTATATTTGTAGCAATAGCCAACAATACATTGTATGGTTTAAAATGATCCATTTTTCTTTTATGCCAAAAATCATTAGGACATTAAGTAAAGATCATGTTCCATGAAGATATTTTGTAAATTTCCTACCATAAATATATCAGAACTTAATTTTTGATTAGTAATATGCATGTCTAAGAACTTAATTTGGACAACTTTAAAGATGATTTTCTCAATATTTAGATTTTTTTTGCACCCTCAGATTCCAGATTTTCAAATAGTTGTATCTCAGCCAAATATTGTCCTATCCTAACAAACCATACATCAATGGAGAGCTTTAAGATGGTGTATAAATCTCAATTGAAAAAAAAAAAACCCTTATGACTGGTTTTGTGGTCCAGGGTCACATATAAACTATGACCTTAATGTAGCAACTTACTATATGCATAATGCACGTTTCACATGCGATTTCTAAAAAAAGTAGTAGTTATAGTGTAGTAAATTAGTTTACCACCTTAAAGAGTTGCTTTGCGTTATACAAGGAAAATAACTGAACAGAAGACCAATCACAATTCAGTGTTAATGAAGTGTGTATGCTGAGCAGATGCAAAACCAGAACAAGTGAGGAACATATGAGCAGACGTGGTTTGGGTTACACTGCCTGAGGGTGTGTGTCTTCACGAGGAGAACAGCTGCGGAGGACAGCTCTGAACAACCTGTCTTACAGGTGTGAGTCAGTCACAACCAGTTCTCCTTCACCTCCAACATTTATTCCTCTGTCACAGATGTGTGACAGTGTTCTAACAGGAAGACGTTTGTTTTCCACTATTTGTAGCGTTGTTTGCAAGCATGGCTAGAACGAACCCCCATCCAGAAGTGTTTGGCTTCTCATGGGACTCGTGATGATTATTAGCTGAAATCTCGTGGCTTGTTGAGGAGAGGTGTGTTGAAGCACAAAAGCTAAGGGTGTGTTACAGTCAGTTTAGCACAGTTTAAATCCACAAAACTTACATTGAGGTAAATCCTCAATGACCAAAAAAAAAAAAAACTACAGGTGCATCTCAATAAATTAGAATGTCGTGGAAAAGTTCATTTATTTCAGTAATTCCAGTAATTCGACATTCTAATTTATTGAGATGCACCTGTATAAGCAAAGTCAGAAAGTTTTAGCAAAAGGCAATAACAGCAACTAGCATTTTCAGAAAAAGAACATGCTCGTCAAAATGAATGGAAAACCACAATAGGGTTAATCCTACTAATCATGAATGATGGTTTGGTTAAGTAACAGAGATTACTCAGGTTTGAGTTCTCCCATTTCTACACAGATTCTTGTTCATTCACCAAAAAACAGAACAAAAACAAAAAACTAAGAAACAGATGTACAAAACTCAAACCCTTTTATTAAAGTCTATCGCATGTATTATTTATATATATATACTGTATAAAAGTTCTACAGTGACAGAACTGGCACATGGTCAGACAACGGTTAGTCATGGATTCGTTCATTCGTTCTCAAAGAACAACACAGAACACGAGAGAAATATACACAACAAACACCGACAGACACACCGCTTCACCAGATGAGGGTGTGTGCGGGCGCCTTCATGGGAGATGAGGATCGTTTGGAAGAACAAATAAATACATTATCACGCTTCACTTGTGCATGTTCTGCATCCTCTGCCAGCATTCACATGGGTTCTCGCACGCACACACATCACGATTTTTGCAGTCGTAAGCAGAGGTCTGACAGAGAGTGTGTTCATCAAATCTTGAATACTGGCTGTAGTGTGAGGTAAACGGACTGTGTATCTACAGCCACATCTAACATTAAACACACGTCTGAGTCTTTAACACCGGGCCCGAAGCGCTTTAGCACCAGAGTAGAGAGCATCAGAGTGTGTTTCAGTGGAAATGCATCACCGTCTGGAGTTGTGTAAACTGTGTGTTCAGTCGCTGTCGCTCGTGTCGCTGCTGGGGTCGCCCTGGACTTTGTTGCGGTGCTGCATGGCGCGGTGATACGCCACCTGAACAGACTTCCTGATGTTCGACTTCCGGCCTTCCAGCATCTTCTCTTTGTCCAGATCCTGATTGACGCCCAGAGGAACCAGTTTGGAGCGCGGCAGCCATTGCCTGCACACACACACACACACACACACACACACACACACACAGTGCTAGAGTTAGAGGGTCAAATAAAGATGCAATAGAGGCTACACTTTATTTTGATAGTCCACTTTAGACATTCTACTAACTCTAAGTAGCTTTGCAACTACATGTCAACTAATGCTCATTAATTCACAACTACACGTCTACTAACTCTCAGAGTAGACTGTTAGGTTAGGTTTTGGGTTGGTAGAATAAGTTGATATTTACTTGCAAAGTTTCTCATAGTCAGTATGTTGTGGACCCATCAAAATAAAGTGTTATCAAATATCTAATTCACAACTACACGTCTACTAACTCTCAGAGTAGACTGTTAGGTTAGGTTTTGGGTTGGTAGAATAAGTTGATATTTACTTGCAAAGTTTCTCATAGTCAGTATGTTGTGGACCCATCAAAATAAAGTGTTAGCAGATATCAAGCAGACAGTCTACTAATACTCTAATGACTGCTAGTTGGCATGTAGTTAAAGTTACTTACCGTTAGTAGTATACCTAAAGTGGACTATCAAAATAAAGTGTTAGCAGCTATCAAGCAGACAGTCTACTAATACTCTAATGACTGCTAGTTGGCATGTAGTTAAAGTTACTTACCGTTAGTAGTATGCCTAAAGTGGACTATCAAAATAAAGTGTTAGCAGATGACGATATTAGCGTCCACACCAGCAGACGATATCGTCGGTTTATTCTCAGCGCACGCTCGTCTACCGCTTTAAATTCTCCAGCTTGTGACAGCAGGATGGATTCTGATTGGCTGTCAATATTTTTAGCGTTCATCAGCTGGAGAAAATCGTTCTGGAAGTGATTCCAACGATATCGTTTCTCTGTGCCTTTATCGTTATAGTTGTGGTGTGGACTCTGCTATTCTTTAATACTGAGAACGATTTTATATCTTTATAGTTGTCGTTCCTGTTGTGAACGGGCCTCTAGCGTCTCTTTTCAGCTGATTTCCTCTGGCCTATTTCTCTCTGTTTGCCACACAGGATGCTCAGATGCTGACAGGGTTACATCGCTCTCATGAGAAGGTCAAAGTGGATCAACATCAACTAGCATTACAGAGCCTCTTGTAATGACAAAGATCATTACGATGTTTTGCGCTGTGAGATTGTAATGAATATTAAGCACATTAACTACGCCTACATTTATCATGCTGATTCAGGAAAACCCCTGACCTACAGTAATGATTGTGTGAACATTAAGAATAATCACCACTGAAATGCTGGAAAATTACCAAAACCCACCTCAAAACTAGAGCTTTAAGACACTCTACAGTAATGAGAATGAGATTTCGGGCATTACGGTACAGCAATTTCAGCAAAATGTGCTTAGTTGTGAAATATGAGAGAGTGATGCATTTCTAGGTTTTTGAATGACAATGTAAGAGTTACGATTCAAGATCAAAGGCATAAACCGCGTGCTGAAAGAAATTGGTCACCTCAGTGGAAGAATTACTAACAGAAGTTTCTACGACTGTAACTGTGGAAGATTCCAGCATCACAACAGCGACATCAAAACACGAGAAAGAAAATCAGCCTTTTCACATTTCAGTTTCCACAGGAGCAACATATACTTTCTAATAAAAATACTGCAACACAGTCTCCTCTCAACTCACCTGACTTACGGAACTCAAGGCATCAATAAAAAAAAATAACCTGAGCAAATATTTGCAACATTTTTATAGGTTTGTGCTCGGTAAGATTTTGTAATGTCAGTTTTGATCACACCAAGGCTGCATAAAATAATAGTGAAATGTTACCATTTCAAACAGTCTTCAGAGTCACATGATCTTCAGAAATCATTCTAATATACTGATTTGCTGCTCAAGAAACATTTCTGATTATCATCAATGTTGAAAACAGTTGTGCTGCACAATATTTTTGTGGAAACTGTGACACATTTTATTTTTCAGGATTCACAGATGAATAGAAAGTTCAAAAGAACAGCATTTATTTGAAATAGAAATAATTTGTCACATTATATGTCTTCACTGGCACTTTTGACCAATTTAATACGTCCTCGATCAATAAAAGTATGAATTTCTTTCAAAAAATCTAACTGAGCACAAACCTTTGAAAGGTAGTCTAGTTAAGGTTTCTCTTAAAAGTAATACCACTTTTGACAGACACACAGCTCTAAGCAAAGACACCTACGCATTTGTGTGTGTTTGTGTATATAGTTACGGCAAGTGTGAAGAGCATGAGCGTGTGACTAACCAGGTCCTCTTGTTGTCGAAGAAGAGCACGAGGAAGAGATGCTCGCGCGCCTCCTGCGTCATCTGCTCTCCCAGCTTCAGCACCTCTATCGGCGGGACAGGAATCGGGACGCCCCGGTGGAACACACCCTCCCGTGGCATCTTGGGATCAATGATCTGTGGGAAGATATCGCAGGTCTCAAAATGAGAAGAGAGGACTGAGGCGGCCCCTGCTGGACACACACAGCACCTTCAGTCACAGGAACTCAACATGTCTGACTGATTACAGGTCAAGTGCTGCAGCTAGGTCCCTTTTATTATTTTGGGTTATTTACTGTTCCACTGAAAAAAGTGCTTTGAGTGCCTGCACATCAAATCCCTTCACTGCTGCTCTACTGTCAACTCAGAAGGTATACTTATAACATCACAGTAATATACAGGTGCATCTCAATAAATTAGAATGTCATGGAAAAGTTCATTTATTTCAGTAATTCAACTCAAATTGTGAAACTCGTGTATTAAATAAATTCAATGCA